GATCCCGGGATTTAATTTTTGAAAAAACCCGGGACCTCACGATTTGATAAAGCAGGTCAATTTGTGTAAATTCTGATAGCATGCCCATTACGGTCACCTTTGTAAGCCTTAATCATTCCCATCTCATTCATATGCAGTCACCTTTGCTGTTTGCCCTCTATCATTGGTGAATAGCTGAGGAAACAGACGAACGACATGATCAACGACAGCTCATAGAATAAATTGACATGATGAACTTTTACGTAATATTTCAGTGAATATTCAACTGATTTATATGGTTCATATGGCTTGTGCTGTCCATTGGTTTATATTACGCTCATCTGGATGGATTTCTATGTAGACTAACAGAAGTAATCACATTTTCTAGTGAGAAACAAGAGCAACAATTCACCAGATAAATTATATTCATCAAATGTCTAATGAGCTGAGGTCGATAAAAGATCTCAGCGGACGATTCGATCATCACGTAGTAGCTAACGGCTTCAAATCAATATCAACAATCATATTAACTGTTTATTGAACAACAGCATGCGTCATAAGACATTAGAAAACTGTTTATTAAAATACACCTGAACACACGTGCACAAATGATGTGATGTGTTATAAAATGATGAACTGCAAAAGAGTGGGACTAGAAATGGCCAAATAATGAGGATTATAATGGTTGCTCAGAGTATTAGGGTCATCAAATGATCCATCGAATTCGTTTGAATATTTATTTGAGTTTGTACATGTGCGGTTCTTCTCCTTCTCCTTCACGAACGTTGCGTTTGAACTTTCCAATAAGCCCCATCACCGGCTGTTCTCCTTCTTCTTCAAGAGTACCACGTTTGAACTTTTCTATAAGCCCCGACACCAGTTGTTCTCTCGGGACCGGCTGTTGTTCTTCTCCTTCAACAGCGCCATATTCGAACTTTCGAAGAATCCTCGGCACTGGTCGATCTCCTTCTTCAGGAACGCTACGTTTCGATCGCCCATGAAGCATCGACTCCATTTCCATCTCCTGCGCTTCCTTTATAGCCTTCTAAATTTTAAAACATTAAANNNATATTAGCAAACGTTGCCGACGATCAGTTGCTGTTTGTCGGAGGAATTGATCTTGAAATATTTAGCTCATCGTGCAGTAGAATATGTCGTCACTCACTTCGTAGCTCCTAGGAGCTGGTAGTGAATCGCTGTCCCATGGAACTAGCTGTATATGGTCGTCCGCTGCTACTGGCTTTGAATTGACTGAAATGAAAGAATAAGGAAAAAAATTGATGATAACTGAATTATGTCATTAAATAGTCTCAAAGCAATTTGATGGAGTGAACAACAGTCAAATCCTTCGTTGTAATCGTTCACTCAAATGAATCTGTCAGTCTTGAAATTGTCTCGTTGCTCCTCATGAACACTGCAAAATAATTGTCCGAAAGTATGGAAGCGTGCGAGAAATCCAAAAGAAGAAAGGTATACCTTGCGACACGATGACCAAAGCGGTGATCTGAAAGTAGCTTACATTATTAAAACGCACCGCGGATGTGCTGTCTTGATGGAAAATCTCGACTAGCACTAAAAAGGTCAAGATCGCGCAGTTAAGTTTCTCATCACTGAATTCAGTTCTAACAGTTCCAAATTTTTTACTGCGAATATTCACGTCACATTAAGAACGCTCCATTTGATCCACTTTATCATCCTCTCATTGGAAGCTCTCGAATGTGCAGAATTCCTCACGAACATACCAGGAGAACGAACTCTTTACGAACGACGATCATGATTTCCTTCGTCGAAAGAAAGCCAACTGATTCTGCAAAGTGCAGACGAAAACAATGATTGACAATCTCATTCATCCATTATATATACGTCAAAATTTTTATTCATTTGCATATCACTTGATAGGTTGGCATGAATTACAATGTAATGTATGCAATTTCTTGGGGAATTTTCATTTCAAATATGCTGCGGAATCTTTAATCTACGATCTGTCAACATGTAATTAATCGCCGATTAATGCTTGAACGAGACTTTGCTTTCTTCTCCATATTTGGCAGCTCCCAATCGAAAGGTTTATCATCGGTAATATCATTCGACGGGCAACATTCCTTAAAAAAAATAACGTCTGTATTGTTATCAATATTGATTGTGTCATTAGTAACCGTAAAAATGATCAAATTGAATAGCCCATAAATTCACTGCAGATATTCGAAATTCTAAACCTGCAAAACATCGAATATGAGTGAGTAATCTGGAAAATGACAATATTGCAATGTATGAAGATATTGGAATATCTTCTCAAGTTCCGATGGCAAAAACCTGAAAATTCTGTTATAATGCTATTAGCATTTGTAAAGAGTTTTTCTCATTCAAATGATGCAAATTTTTTCATTCACAGGAGGAACTTTTTAGAATTGCTGAAATGTTAGAATTTTATACAAAAAATTAACGGACATTGCAAGCAAAAACGGATTCGCTTGATCTTCAAAACATCGCATTCTACTCGAGAATAATGTGCTGAAGTATTGACTGACGATGAATAGAATAGCGAAATAGAGTTTGCCTGCCAAGTTGATCAAATGATGTTTTCTGCTTTGCCAGTGCTACAGTATCTGCTTCTGGTAAATTCTTCCACGGCAAACTTCCTTCGATGAGTTCAATCATCGAATACAACAA